ATTTGTGATGTTTTTTGATGATTTCTCCTAAATCCTGGGATCAAAAATGGAGGTGGATTTTCTTCACCAGGAAAACAATGTGGTTTGGGAAGATGCCTTTTATGCAGATTGCAGCAAATAAAACAATAAAAAAATAAAACAAATTTGGAAATATTTCTGACATTTCCTCATCCAGAATATTTGGGTTTTGGGGTTTTTTTTGCCCAAATTAGTTAAAACCTCTGTGACCTGTGGAGGATTTTTGATGTTTTTTGATGATTTCTCCCAAGTCCTATGGAAAAAAAATGGAGGTGGATTTTCTTCACCTGGAAAACGATGTGGTTTGGGAAGATGCCTTTGAGGCAGATTGCAGCAAACAAAACAATAAAAAATAAAACAAATTTGGAAATATTTCTGATATTTCCTCATCCACAATATTTGGGTTTTGTGGGGTTTTTTGATGAGTTCTCCCAAATCCTGGGATAAAAAAAGGAGGTGGATTTTCCTCACCAGGAAAACGATGTGGTTTGGGAAGATGCCTTTGATGCAGATTGCAGCAAATAAAACAATAAAAAAATAAAACAAATTTGGAAATATTTCTGACATTTCCTCATCCAGAATATTTGGGTTTTGTGGGGTTTTTTGATGATTTCTCCCAAATCCTGGGGATAAAAAAAGGAGGTGGATTTTCCTCACCTGGAAGATGTGTTTGATGCAGACAAACAAAACAATAAAAAAATAAAACAAATTTGGAAATATTTCTGATATTTTCTCATCCAGAATATTTGGGGGTTTTTATTTTCCCAAATTAGTTAAAACCTCTGTGACCTGTGGGGGATTTGTGATGTTTCTTGATGAGTTCTCCCAAATCCTGGGAGAAAAAAAAGGAGGTGGATTTTCCTCAACAGGAAAACGATGTGGTTTGGGAAGATGTGTTTGATGAAAACTGAAGCAAACAAAACAATAAAAATATAACAAATTTGGAAATATTTCTGACATTTCCTCATCCAGAATATTTGGGTTTTGTGGGGGTTTTTTGATGATTTCTCCCAAATCCTGGGGATAAAAAAAGGAGGTGGATTTTCCTCACCTGGAAAACGATGTGGTTTGGGAAGATGTGTTTGATGCAGCGAACGAAATATTCTGTTTCTGCTTCTGTCAGCTGCACTGCCTCTGAGGATTTGAATAAAGGACCCAGGCCCTTGAATTCTGGGATGGCTGCCAGTTGTTCTGGGAAGGATGGAAAAAAACGGGATCAGGCTCTGGTGATGATCCCAAAAGCTCAGGGAATCCTGGAAAGGTTTGGGTGGGATGGGATGTTGAGGATAATTCACTTCCATCCCCTTTTTCACTCTCCCAGGGTGCTCCAAGGCCTGGTTTTGGGTAATTCCAGGGATCTGGGAATTCTGTGAATTCCAGCCCAGCCAGGAATTCCTTCCCAAATCCCAAATCCCTGATCTCTCCTACCTTGGAAGATATCCTGGCGTGAAGGAGCCACTTTCTCAGGTTTGCTGGGCACCAGGGCAATCTCTGGGGAGACAAAAACAGCAAAGATTAATTAATTAAAAGCAATTAAACCATGCAGGTTTAAATGCCACTAAATATTCTATTTCATATAATAAATATTTAATATTTTTAATTAAATATTCCCCACTGACAGCCTGGCTCCTCACACAATGAAATATCTTTTTTTTTTGATCTTTGGTGTGGAAATGCTGGATTGAAAGTTGAAGAAATAAGTCTGAGTTAATAGGAATAAAACACACTTTAACCCTGAAGAGCTTGCAAAAAAGAAAGAAAAAAAATTTTAAAAAAGAATGAAAAAAAAAGATAAAAAGGCAAAAAAGGAGAAGAAAGTAAGAAAAAAAATAGAAAGAAAAGAAAGGAGAAGGAAGGAGAAGAAGAAAAGGAAGGAGAAAAAAGGAAGGAGAAAAAAGGAAGGAGAAAAAAGGAAGGAGAAAAAAGGAAGGAGAAAAAAGGAAGGAGAAAAAAGGAAGGAGAAAAAAGGAAGACAAAAGAAAAAATAAAAGAAAAAAGAAAAAGGGAAAAAATAAGAAAAAAATAAAGAAAAAAAGAAGAAAAAATAAAGAAAAAAAAGATAAAAAAAGAAAAAAAATAAGAAAAAGAAGAAAATAAAGAAAGAAAGAAAGAAAAAAAAGAAAGAAAAAGAAAGAAAGGAGGAGAAGGGAGAATAAAAAAGAACCCCAAAGTGAAAATGCTCAAGAATTGTGCAAGGATGTGCAAGAAAGTCAGAAAAGTGACTGAGAACCCCTGGCATGACCTTTTTCCAAAGGCTGTGACCCAATAAATTTAATAGTAATAATATTAATATTATTAGGGATATTAATAATAATATTAACAATTTATAATGTAATAATACAATATAATAATAAGTATAATAAAAATAAAAATAATATAATATAATAATACAGTATAATAAAAATTATAATATATTATAATAGTACAATATAATAAAAACAAAATAATAATTATAATAAAATTTTAAAAATAAGTTATAATAATACAATATAATAATAAAAATAATAAAAATAATAAAAATAATTAAATAGTATAAAAATAAATTATAAAATAATAATACAATATTATAATAATAATTATAATAAAAATAAAACCAATATATTATGGTTAATATAATATAAATTAAACTAATATAATATTTAAACTAATTATGAATTAGTTTAAATATTATAATTAATTATTAGGTGAAACTAATATAATAGTACAATATAATAAAAATAAAATAAAAATTAAATAATAAAAATATAATATTATAATACATTAAAATGGAAATAAAAATAATAATAAATTATAAAATAAATATATAAATAAAAATAAATAATATTAGATATTAAATATTAATAAAATACATAATATAATAATTATAATAAAAATAAAAACAATAATAATGTAATATAATAATACAATATAATAAAATAAAATAATAATAAAAATTATAATATAATAATACAATATAATAAAATAAAAATATAAATAAAAATATAATTATAAAATATAATAAAAATAATGACAATAGTGTAATAATAACAACAAGAATAATTTCTATTATTATTATTATGCACAGAACTGCTGATGGGCTGAGCAGACCAAGAGGAGGCTCTGAGGCTCCATTTCCACCCCCGTGATACCTGATTTCTGCTCACAGATGGGGGCTGTGGCCAGGGGAACAGTTTTCATGTCAAAGGGTTTCTCAGAGGGCTCCAGGGTGTACTGGTGCAGGGCTTTCTCCATGCCAGGAACAGAAACTGTCAGCCCTGCAAGGGAAAAAGGCAGGAAAAATTCAGTTTCAGCAGCTGGAAATGGCCCAGCTGCACTGCAGACACAGGAAACACAAAACAGAACAGGAAAAAAAACTGATCTGGAGATGGCACAGAGCTGCCAAGAGTTTGCTCCCAAGAATCTTAGGTGGGTTAATTAAATCCTTGATTTTCAAGAAATTTACATGAGTTAATTAAATCCCTGATTTTCAAGTTTTACACTGGTTAATTAAATCCTTGATTTTCAAGAATTTAACATGGATTAATTAAATCCCTGATTTTCATGAGTTTTACATGGATTAATTAAATCCTTGATTTTCAAGAATTTTACACAGGTTAATTAAATCCTTGATTTCAAGAATTTTACATGGATTAATTAAACACTTGATTTTCAAGAATTTAACATGAGTTAATTAATTCCTTGATTTTCAGGGATCTTACATGGGTTAATTAAATCCCTGATTTTCAAGAATCTTACATGGCTTAATTAATTCCTTGATTTCCAAGAATTTAACATGAGTTAATTAAATCTTTGATTTTCAAGAATCTTACATGAATTAATTAAACACTTGATTTTCAAGAATTTTACACAGGTTAATTAAATCCTTGATTTTCAAGAATTTTACATGGATTAATTAAATCCTAAATTTTCAAGAGTTTTATATGGGTTAATTAAATCCCTGATATTCAAGAATTTTACATGGATTAATTAAATCCTTGATTTTCAATAATTTTACATGAGATAATTAAACACTTGATTTTCAAGAATTTAACATGAGTTAATTAAATCCTTGATTTTCAAGAATCTTACATGGATTAATTAAACCCTTGATTTTCAAGGTTCTTACATGAGTTAATAAAATCCCTGATTTTCAAGAGTTTTACATGAATTAATTAAATCCTTGATTTTCAAGAATTTTACACAGGCTAATTAAATCCCTGATTATCAAGAATCTTACATGAATTAATTAATTCCTTGATTTTCCAGG